AGTGAAATATCCAATGAAGAGTTCCCTGCAAGAAAATAGTTGCATTTGGAGGAGTTGGGATGAGCAGGGCACAGATGTGAGCAGAGGACCAGGGACAGCTGGTTGAAGAGGAAACTTGGAGTCCAGGGAAGGTGCTCAAGGGTATGTGGGACTGACTCTTTCCAAAAAGAGAACACTCAGGTACAGACATTTTCAAGAGACTATAGTGACATGGTCCACACTCAAAGTCTCTGTCCCCAGCACCTCAGACTCTCAGGATTAAGTACATTTTTCCTGGAGACTCCAATGCCTGCCTTTGTGAGAGAGATCTGCTAGTGCTGCCATAGGTTTAGCTTTGGGGATACAGACCTGAGGTTCCACTAGTTCTCTCCCTTTCTGAGTTCTGGAGCTTCGTGCCTAAACAAATTTCTCCTGCATGTAACAGCAAGCAGAGGTGAGGTGAGGCAGGCCAGCTCTTACACCACCGACTCTGTGTTGTTTCATAGAGCTAGTACTGTTTGTTGGTAGTAAAAGGTTTTGTTTTTAATTTGCAAGCTTCCTTTCCCTAATGCTGTGATGGGACAAATGTGAGTGAACTGAGCCTGAATCCCCTGTCCATGTACAAAAATGAAAATAAAGTCTGTGGAGGAGATGTCATCAGATTTTTGGGAATTAACAGTTCATTCCTCCACAAGTGTCTGCATGCTGGTTTCCATCTTGTGCTGTGTGAAGTCTGCTCCAAGAAGATCTGTCAGGGCACTGTGAGTTACTTGTGGCAAAATGATAAAAGGCTCTGTGACTCTCAGAAGGGCAAAGTGGTAAGAAGTGCCTCGTCTAAAGGGATTTAACACTCTGAGGTGTTTGATAGGAAGAACTGTGGGCTTGTGTTAGATCACCATCTGCTCAGCCAGACTAGAGGCCCAGAGATGTCCTGGAGAGCTCCTGAAATCCAGCTCTGTCTCCTTCCCTCCTGTCTCCAGTGCCCTATACAACTTTACTTTTTAACCCAACATTTCTTGTGCATTTAGGCTGAAGACATTTCAGAGTGATAATCTGCTGGTTTCCACTCAGAAATAATTCTATCTTGATTCCGTCTTTTCATTTGTGAAGGAGAAGCAGGAGCTCAAGCTTTCAGGATCTGATCCCAAATCTAGAGCCTTCACAGTATGTAGGGCGGAGTCATTGGCCCCAGGACCATAGGGTCCTAGAACAAGGGTAGGCTACTAGTAACTCGTTTCCTGTCATGGGGGAGGGTGACCTAGTATTTAAAAATACTTGAGACCTGTAGAGGGCCAGAGAGGAGGGAAAGGAGATCCAGCGCAGGACAGAGAAGAGAGAGGCTGGCATGGGAAGATGTTGTGATGCTAAGGAGCCCATGAGCTGCTTCCCCTTTACACCCCATCAGAACTGTGAGAAAACCACAAGTCACCTAGAGGGGGCTAAAAATACCACAGGGCAGGAGGCTTGTGGAGTCCAGTAAGGCTGAAGACGGAAGAGAAAGATCTCTCCTCAGAGCTGTGAGCTGGCCCTCTCCAGGCCTGGTGCTCCTCCACCACCGTACTGGGGTCACAGGGAGTTTCCTGGGTTATTAATAAATCCCCTGTGTATGCTGCTTATGAGACTATTTTTGATGTTTTCTCCTTCTCAGGATAATCTTTGTGCAAAGGACGTGAGCATCATTTTTGGCCTGAGTCAATGGCCCCACCTCCTATAGCAGTTTCATTTTACAAATCTGATGTAACTGATTGCCACTGCTTGAGAAACCTGTGCATCAGAGAAGACTAATGGCTGATTAGTCTTCCTAACACTGGGCACAATTATATGATAATAAAGGCACAGCTATAGAATAACAAACTTATAAACATGTGACATTAAATTGAAATCAAATAGTAGCCTCTGCCTAGGCTTTTGCTGGCTGTCATGTAAACACCCTGTTGAATTCAGGCAGTCTTGACTGTCCGGGTCTGGCTGTTTCTTTTGATAATGTACTGGGCTGATTTGACTATTTTCAGCTTATGTTTTCTTTAACTAAGAAAGTATATTGCTTCCAGTTGACTTCAAGGACTTTGGTTGGGGTGAAGAAAGCCAGTCAAAGATGTTTTAACCCCAAGTGGACCCTCTCCCTTCACTGCCAGGATGTTCTTATGTTATGCTAAACAATTCCCTTTAAGCAAATGTTTTAGAGTTAGTTTACCTGACAATATATGATTTAATTCAATCCATAGAACCAATCATGTAATGCCTAGTACTCCCTGCTTATGAACTGTATTTAAACTGAACCCAAAACTGCTCAGTGCTGATGATTTGGAAGGAAGATTCCCATCAGCCTGCTCGCATAATAAATAACAATTGCCTTCTAGATTCCTTGGTGCAAAGAGTCTTCCATTTGGCTAGATATTGATTTTTTCCTAACACTAAATTGTCCTCTGGGAGGAAGATGGTGAAAGGATGGATGTCTGTGAGAATGTGGTGGCCCTAGAGAGGAGGTTTCCTGACACACTACCTCAGATACACCAGGGAATCTGTTTGTAACTCACACCTTTCAGGTGCTGTGGCTTTCACCAAAATCCACACTGTGTTTCAGAAGATTCAGAATATGAGTTAAGGTCCAGAATGGGCATCTGAGGTTTGAAAGGAGGGGAGATCCTGATCCCCAGAGACTCAGCCCCCCAGTATTCTCCTGGGGAAAAATAACTACCAAAGAATAGAAGCCTGCACAAGAATTTGGCCCCATGAAACTGATCCTGCCTGTGAGAAGAAAAGAACCTATCTGGTAACTTTGGTTGAATTCCTGTTTTTATTTTGTATGTAATTGAATTAACTATTTATTTATCTTCATATTAAAAAATTGAACCCAGGATACGTTGACCTGAATTCTCCAACCTTCTTTTATGAAAGTATGTATATAAATATATAAGTATGTATGTATACATGTGTATGTATATGTATATAAGTATGTGTATATGTGTGTGTATGTGCCTGGGTGTGTGTTTACTTTTATACAGAATCTCCCTAAGGCAATAATTTGTCCAGGCTGCACTGGATCTTGGGTGATTCTTCTCCCTCAGCCTCTCTGAGTGATGGGATTATAAGTATAGACTACTAAACCCTACGGAATTCTTGTTTTTAAAACCAAGTTCTGTGATTTAAGCAGGAAGCTACCATCTAAACTTTATCCCATTCTGTTTCCCTCCCACAAAATCTCCTTGGTGTGGAATAAGGAGGAGGACAGGGCTGATTTTCCAGAAGCATCTCCTGCCAGAGACAGACTGCACAGACATGGCTCATGGTCCCTCTTCATAGCATCTGGTTGGCAGGTGCTCAGTGGTAGACAGGAGGATTCCCAGCACCCCAGGTCCCACAGAGACCCGAGCCCCATCTCCTTTCCATGTCCCTGTGTCCCAGACTCTGTCCCCTCCCTGTGACCCATCACTTGCACTTCTCCTGGAGGATGGGCCTGGCCTGGAGAAGACAGTAAGCTCCCTGGTTCTGCAGAGCTCCATCTCCAGAGCTAATCAGGACCCAGGCCCACCTCTTCCACCCGGCCTCTTACCAGTTCTCTTTTCCTCAGCTCAGGGTAGGGACACAGGAAGAATGAAACAGGAGTTTTCGATGTCTTGGCTACTTTTTACCCTTACTGATTGAATCTGAGACTTTATATAAACTTGATGTTCTGTGTGGGGTGGGGGCCAGCATGAAGTGAGGTATAATTTCATGTCTCTGTGGCATCCTTCATAGAACAACCAATTATTGAGTGTTACCAACAGTTATAAAGTAATAATTCTGTTGTTAATTGTTCTTGTTGCTCATTAGAATGAACATCCTGGTTTCACATTCCTTCACTAAGTTATGGCTCCTGTTGCGGGCAGCACAGTGACAGAATGTTCTATGGCTGACCTGCCTATAATCACCAACTACAGAAATCTATCTATTGGTCAGTTGAAGAATGGAGAGCAAAATGGAGCAACTGAATTTTAAGTTTTCTACATATTCATTAAGTTATGTTTAAATGGCCACAAATGGCAGTGGCTATACTATTAGACAGCACCACTAAATGTTTGCATATGTGCTAAACAAACCATTTCACCCTTTTAGAGAGAAATCTGCATGGCCTGTGGAGGGTAATGGCAATCAGCTCCTTGTACACAGGTTCAGGAAAGCTGTATGGAAATTCTTGTTTCTTCATGTTGGCCTCTAGATCCAATATCGAAACTTTTCAGGAAAAGTTGGGATCCTAGCCACTGGCACCAATAAGATGAAAGAGATCACTACAACCTCCATCTGCCGGAAGATGACAAAGGACCCAGTGAACACGAATGTGGCCACTGTTGCTGCCACTTGTGCACAGGGCACTGGCTCTGCAGGGCACAACACAATCAGGAGCAAATGGTACTTCTGTCCTCTGAGTCAGGTACCATTTCACTAAGAAGGCCTCCAGGTCAACAAGCAGCTGGGAAACCTAGCTGAACTCTTCAGACAGATGGAGAAGACAGCAGATGAGCTGGTGTGAGGCCCACGGAGAGGAGTTCCAGCTCCTCTGAAAAGATAACAGCGAGCTCATCTGCTGGTGCTGTGAGTGGTCACCACCGTATGAAGGTAGAGGACGTGTGCCAGGGTTACAAGATGAGTGTTGCCAGAGTCTAGGCAGGGACATACTCCCAAGGCCTCAGAGGACTGACCCCAAAAGCCTAAGATTATGACCTTGAAACATAGCCTGTGCCGTGGTATTCATCCCCAAATAGCTTGTGACAGATCTTTGACAAACCTAGTCCAAAGTGTCCACTCTGACATTCAGCAGGGTGTTCAGACACTTGTCTCCATTCTCTGTGTTACCGTGGACTCCTCCTTACTCTGAGAATATTCAACCATACACCTGCTCCACCATGGGTTCTGCTCCACTCTGTGTGTACTGTGAGAAACCACAGTGTGCAGGGCTCTGAAGAAGGATCGGGAAATGGAGGGGAAGAGGACGCACTTCTCACAGGGACGCTAGAGTCCATTACAGACATGGACCAGCAAAATGAGTGCTCTCAGTAAAATTTACTTTGAAAAGACAAGGGTCAGTTTTGTTTCTCCATTGCAATCCCACACTCTGTAAATTTAACTTTTCAAAAATTCTAGTTCTGATGCAAACATTTTGCTGTGTCTTTCCAAAAGTAATATATGTTCACAATGGAGAACAAATATAACTCTTAGTTTCAAAACTATGGAAGGAAAACCCACATACAGTCTTGTAAGTCCTTAGAAGTCCTTCCAGTCTTCTTTAGTGAGATTCTAAATTTCAGCAGCAGCTGGTTTAGGTGGTGAAGTGAGCCAGAGGTGAGCAATACATCCTGGTCGAGATGCATAAATTTAACCTGCATGTACAAAGGCACAGTTTTGGGGGGTCTTGTCTCGCCATGAGCTGGCCCTAGGGTATAGAAAGACAGGCAGGTTAGGGGAATTGCAGTGTGTTCTAGGTCCTTGAGTGTCAGCTCCCAGTCCCTATCTTAGAACACAGTGTTACTTGTCCTTGGGGCAATTTTTATTCAAGGATTGATGGCCCAGTGACATTGAAAAATTCACCCCAGTATGTATGTATATGTATTTATTTATTTATTGTCTTTTTGAGACAGGGATTCACTATGCAGTTCAGGCTAGCCTTGAACTCACTGTGTAGCCCAGGTTGACCTTGATCTCACAGTATCTTCCTGCCTCAGCCTCCCAAGTGCTGGGATTACAGGCATGAGCCATGATGCCCAGCTTCCATCCAGGCACTCTTAAAATCAAAAGAACATAAATCTGCACATCGCTCTCTGCATACTCACTGCCAAAGTATAAAAACAAGAATTCACTGTTATTTTGACACATTTTGGAGTGCTGACATTCTAATTATGTGTTCAGTGAAGCATCAAACCGAACAGACTTTACCCACTCTTTTCTCTCAGAAAAAGATGGAGATAGCTATGAAAAAATTGATTCAGCTCTAAGAAGAATGTATGCATCAGAAAGTGTTCACGGCAACACATATACCTCAGTTGCAGGTAAGAGTCTGAATTCATTGATCTTAAACTGTTGCCTAGTCTAGAGTTTGAGCACAGGGACTCACTGGAGCAAAGCACAATGATGGTGTATTTTGACCTTGCCATACCAGAGAGATGAAGCCCAAAGAAGAAACCTCTGTGTTATGCCCTTTTTATACCCATGAGATTCTGTCGGCAAGCTCTTCCATCTTCTAACAGTAATTGGTTGGGATTATTAATAACTCAGTGTAATGTGAGAATTGGTATGGTTATCTGTCTACAATAGCCTCGACTGGTTTTCACATTTTTACATCCATCATCCAGGTATGCAGTCTTGGACCTCATGAGGTTGTCTCGTTTTCTGGGGAGCAGAGTCTGGCTCTCCAGACCACAGGTTCTCAACTGACCTCTGAGAGCAGTCAAGAGCACAGGCGTCCTCTAGTCAGGATTCATGAGATCAGTGTGAGCTATAAGCAGCAGCCTGGTGCTGCTAACCCTTCACACATGCACCTGCAGGATGAAGGCTTTCAGACCATTTCCACTGCTCCCCAGGCCTCAGATTATCAGGCATACATCCCTCTGAGGAAATCTCTTTGGAAACTCTTAGCTGACAATCCAGGCCAGTGAGCTGTTCTGCTTCTTCCAGGATCCTTTTTAATTTCTACTTTCCTTTGATGTGGAGGTTGAACTCCAGCTTCCAGAAAATGACCTTGTTCCATCACTTCTGGGATTTCAGGCACTGGAGATGACTTTGTAAGAAACACATCTGGAAAGCCCTTTAACACAAGAATTGAAGCTGCATTCTCTCTTTCATAAACAATTTTCTCATTGTTCTAAATGATTGTCCTCTCTAGTTTAACATCATAGTCACTGAGACATTGTAAGAATTTTAAAAATGTTTCTGGAACTTTCAATACGAAATCTCAGATAAAAGCTAAGTTCACAACGTACCTCATTTGGTTTAGTCGTCTTATAAATAATGATGATTAAGGTGACTCTGAACATGTAAATGAGTATTTCTCAGTTAACCATAAGAAAAGGCTGCCTCCCCTGGTGTCTCTCTCTCTTTCATCCCACCCCCACCCCCGAGAATCAGGGACTCTGGTAACACAGGTGGCTTCAAAATCCACTCTTGATGAGGCTGTTTACCAGTTTTTGCTCTAAGGTCTTCTCTTAACTTCAGTGACACCTTGTGACACCCTACGGAAAGGCATGAACCCTTGTAACTGATGAAATACTTGAGCTCATTTCTGGTTCCATGACTAAATGATCTGGCACTCTTGTTCCACCTCCTTCTTGGATTGGTCTTGGAAGAAAAATGATTTAGGTGACTTCAGAGAAATCAGGGTCAATCTCTCTCACTTGAAAGTGTCAGCAGAAACCATAGGATTGAGGAACTCATGGAAAAATTATCACAATTAATGTTCGCACTTTCATTTCTACTTTTTGTAGAATATACAAAATATGTACTTACCGTTTTTACTATTTTAGGTATGCAGTTTCGAGGCAATAAGTATTGTCTTATCTTGAAATCATCACCATGTCCCTTACCAAACTTCTTTCCTCTTCCAAAGTGAAAGAACTGTCCCCATTAAGAACTACCTCCTTATTTTCCATTTCTGTCATCACCTAGTAAGTATTCTACTGCTGTCTGTCCTGACTAATTTAATTATTTCAGGTACTTGATACAAATGAAGTCTCTAATACTCACTGCATTGCTTATTGCTTATTTCATATAACAGAATGTCTTCAAATTCATCCTTATACTATGCGACAGAGTTTATCTTTTTTTAAGGTTAAGTAATATAAGTATTCCATTGCATCTATCTACCACATTTCATATATCAGTTTGTCCAAAATGTGTGTTTACATTTGTTACCTTACTTTCTTCACTCTAAGACAAAATGAGATAAAAAAGGTCATGTCTGAATTTAAGACTCTCCATAGATTTTCTCACAAGGAGAAGTCCTGTCTCTGGAAATTAGAGAAAGAACAGAGCAGATGCTGAGGTGACTGAGGTAGAATAAAGCCAGGCTGCAGCAGAACAGCAGTGAACCCGAAGACCGTATCTTTGAGTTGGATGTAAAATGTCAGAGCTCAGCCCTGAGCTCACTAAAGGCGAGGCTGTGGACTTGGAGAAGGAAAGGAGGAGAATGAAGGAAAAAGGGGAAATCGGCAAGATGTGCTTCTACTCTAGGGCAGCAATTCTGTGTGGGAATTTTGGTAATATTTCTCTTAGATTATACATCAGTCACTGCTCTAGACTGTCCTGTTATGTGAATTAGAAAAACACACTTCTTTGAGGTTAATAAAAGGTAGCCAAATGCACCCAAAGATCCCTGATGATCACAATGTCTCCTGAAATACTCTTCCTGTTGATAGATTGTAACAAATGAAAGAAGGGGTAACATTTTCCCTGATTTACTTGTAGAATCCTTGCTCTAGAGGATCTTCTTACAGCTGCAGGATGGATGCATTCCACTAAGACAAAAGCTGAGCTTTTGATTTGGGCTCCAACTAGCAGGACTGGTGGTCACATTAACTGAAAGTGAAAATACAACCCTGTGATACCTGCTGCCACAACAAAATGGTGCACTCTGTGGGTTCACCCTGCAGGACATCAGGTGCCTGAGAGCCAGTCTTGCCAGCAAAAGGTTGGGAAAATCTCCTGCCTGCATTCCCAGCAGCCACTGGTGGATGCCACTGTGGCCATTGCTTTTCCCCACAGACTTTGGCAAAGAAATCACAGTCTCCTGCTGAGTGGAGAGAGGTCTGGTGGGATCACTGCTCCTGACTCTGCAGCAGTGTCTCAAACTGGGTTGCTCTTTTCTTTTTGGGGAGGTGTGTTTAAAGATAGCGTCTTCCATGCCACAATCCATGGAATCCTGATGCTAACACATGCACCTTTTGTTTTCCGTGTATGATGTGAGGACACTTTGAGCAGGTAAGTCCCACGTGGACATAGGAAAAGAGGGTCCAGGTGGACAGAGCTGAATCGAGAGGACCACCAAGAAGTCTGTGCCTCTACTTCTTCCAAGATTTGTGCTGTGAAGCTGGACATGCCCGAGACCTATTTTTTGGAGGTCCAGACTATTTGTAATATCGCTGTGCTTTATTGGATATAAAAATGATATTACTGCATTATGAAGGTATAAGAGTCAGAACTCCCTTAATGCTGTGAGGAGAGAAACCTTAAGCAGTCACCACAGTCACCACCCACAGAGGCACCTTCAGGAGAGGTTGTGTGGTTATTTTTAGCAGAGCTGCCCCAATCTCTTTGTTTAGTGTGCTTTGTGCCGAGTTTGTACTGCTGCTTGGCTCTCCATGGGGAACTTCTAGTTCCTCTTGCCCTGTGTGGTAGCTATGTCACCCCAAGAAGTTCCTGTCATTTAGTTTCTCTGCCTGCTGAATAGAGAAACAGTCCCCACTTTATTGAGTTGTCATGAAAACTAACTTTATTAATCTGCAAACAATTAGTCAGAATGTCAGTGAGAAGCAAAACCCTTACCTATCAGGCGGGAGGTCCTGGGTTCAATCCCTAGCATAAAGAGAGAGAGAGAGAGGGCAGTATGGGCAGAGATAAGGGCCACAGCATGGTATTAGATGTGTTCATAGTCTTCTTGTATTTCAAAATTTTTAAGTGATGCAAGAAAGGTTGTTGAGTATATGAATTATGGGTCAAAACTTTTATAGTGTTGATTCAGATGACACAATATTAAAGCCATGACAGAAATCCTTATTGACCCAAAGCCGAAGTCCCCTGCTCCATAGATTTTATTAATCAGTGGTTACGTGTTTCCAAAAGTTCTTATTCATGAATGCAAAATTTTAAAAAAGAGTTATGAAAATGGAAAGTTTTATTATTTTTCATTTGGCTGAAAAGTTGGACCTAACCTTAAATTATCTGGCACCTGTATGAATTATCTATTGATACCAACAAATTACCAACATTACATAAAGCAATAGAAATATATTAGCATAGGGTTATTTTGATCTGCAAACAAGTGAGAAAATAAAACAGAAACACTAAAACGCTCTGCACTCTTTCTCTTTGCTTACATGCAGTATACAAGTTGGTAACAATTTCTGCTTTCCATTTGCTACCAGCAAACTCAGATGTTAACTACCAGAGTCTGCAAACCGGAGACAGAATCAAAGAAAACTTAGTGACAAACCTTGTAAAATTGGACTTTGTCTATCATTTGCTCTCTTATAAATTTGCCTTCCCACAATTTTCCACCTTAAGAATTAAAACTCCTTTTCTTTTGCCTTTGTCACTTCTCTTAAATTTTGTCATTCTTTTGTTAAGATGCTCCTATCCATGCATTATGTATCTCTTGATTATTCAACTGTGCATGTGGGATACATGAGTTAATACATTTCTATTCACTATTATTTTGTTTCTGTG